CAGGCCAACCCGAGTCCCCCGTGCCCGAGGCCTGCGTCTCCCCGGTCGGGCTTTGAGCCGTGCGCTTGGCGGCCGGCGTCGGTCGCCGAAGAGCCTGCGAGCACTGCTGCTCGGCTCCGTGGGCCCGCGGGAAAACAGCGCAGTGGCCCGCACGGACAGCGCGATGGCGAGGGATGTTCGCGTCGCGCCAGGCGCGCGAGCTGCGCCAGGCTGGCGAGCCAAGACGTCCGAGCACGGCACGCCTCGGCGGCGCGCCGGGAGCGTGCAGCCCAGCCCGCCCTGCTTGCCACTGGCACTTCTGCGATCGGCCGTGAAACAGCTCGCGAATCTGTTTCCCTGGGGCAGACACAGGCTCCCCCCCAACACCACCAGATTGCGTTTATGGAGCTCGCCTCGAGCATGATCCTGACGGCAGGACTCGTCGCACAGATTTTTTCCCAACCATCTTGTGGTGTTGGGTCCTCGTTTTGAAGAGACGGTCCCCGCGTCCCTCCTCACTCCTTCTTCCCTTCTCCCTCCTCCCCCTCCTCCCTGCGTTTCACCCACCCAGCACAGCTTCTCGTGACCCCATAGGGAGCTCCACCGAAGACCCCAGTGGCAGGGTTCGCATGGCGGCCTCGGGCCATTTCGGCACACCCCTCACGAGGATCGTGGCCCCATCGGAGCTCCACCGAAGGCTCCAGTGGCAGGGTTCGCATGGTGGCCTCGGGCCATTACGAGGATCGTCGCCCCATTGGGAGCTCCACCGCAGGCCCCAGTGACAGGGTTCGCATGGCGGCCTCGGGCCATTTCGGCACACCTCTCACAAGGACCGTGGCCCCGTAGGGAGCTCCATCGAAGGCCCCAGTGGCAGGGTTCGCATGGCGGCCTCGGGCCATTTCGGCACACCCCTCACGAGGATCGTGGGCCCGTAGGAGCTTCACCGAAGGCCCCTGTGGCAGGGTTCGCATGGCGGCCTCGGGCCATTTCGGCACACCCCTCACGAGGATCGTGGCCCTGTAGGGAGCTCCACCAGAGGCGCCAGAGGCTGTTTCGCATGGCGGCCTCGGGCCATTTCGGCACGCCCCTCACGAGGATCGTGGCCCCACAGGGAGCTCCCCCGAAGGCGCCAGAGGCAGGGTTCGCATGGCGGCCTCGGGCCATTTCGGCACGCCCCTCACACGGATCGTTGCCCCGTAGGGAGCTCCACCGAAAGCACCAGTTGCAGGGTTCGCATGGCGGCCTCGGGCCATTTCGGCACATCCCTCACGAGGATCGTGGCCCCATAGGAGCTCCACCGAAGGCCCCAGTGGCAGGGTTCGCATGGCGGCCTCGGGCCATTTCGGCACACCCCTCACGTGGATCGTGGGCCCGTAGGAGCTCCACCGAAGGCCCCAGTGGCAGGGTTCGCATGGCGGCCTCGGGCCATTTCGGCACACCCCTCACGAGGATCGTGGCCCCATAGGGAGCTCCACCGAAGGCCCCAGTGGCAGGGTTCGCATGGCGGCCTCGGGCCATTTCGGCACTCCCCTCACGAGGATCGTGGCCCTGTAGGGAGCTCCACCAGAGGCGCCAGAGGCAGGGTTCGCATGGCGGCCTCGGACCATTTCGGCACACCCCTCACGAGGATCGTGGCCCCATAGCAGCTCCCCCGAAGGCGCCAGTAGCAAGGTTCGCATGGCGGCCTCGGGCCATTTCGGCACACCCCTCACGAGGATCGTGGCCCCGTAGGGAGCTCCACCGAAGGCCCCAATGGCAGGGTTCGCATGGCGGCCTCGGGCCATTTCGGCACACCCCTCACGAGGATCGTGGGCCCATAGGAGCTCACCGAAGGCCCCTGTGGCAGGGTTCGCATGGCGGCCTCGGGCCATTTCGGCACATCCCCACGAGGATCGTGGCCCCATAGGAGCTCCATCGAAGGCCCCAGTGGCAGGGTTCGCATGGCGGCCTCGGGCCATTTCGCCACAACCCCTCACGAGGATCGTGGCCCCATGGGGAGCTCCACCGAAGGCCCAGGTGGCAGGGTTCGCATGGCGGCCTCGGGCCATTTCGGCACACCCTCACGAGGATTCGTGGCCCTGTATGGAGCTCCCAACGAAGGCCCCAATGGCAGGGTTCGGGCCATGGCGGCCCCGGGCCATTTGGCGGCACACCCCTCACGAGGATCGTGGCCCCGTAGGGAGCTCCACCGAAGGCCCCAGTGGCAGGGTTCGCATGGCGGCCTCGTGGCCATTTCGGCACACCCCTCACGAGGATCGTGGCCCCATAGGAGCTCTACCGAAGGCCCCGGTGGCAGGGTTCGCATGGCGGCCTCGGGCCATTTCGGCACACCTCTCACGACATCGTGGCCCCGTAGGGAGCTCCATCGAAGGCCCCAGTGGCAGGGTTCGCATGGCGGCCTCGGGCCATTTCGCCACACCCCTCACGAGGATCGTGGCCCCATAGGAGCTCCCCCGAAGGCGCCAGTAGCAGGGTTCGCATGGCGGCCTCGGGCCATTTCGGCACACCCCTCACGAGGATCGTGGCCTATAGGGAGCTCCACCGAAGGCCCTAGTGACAGGGTTCGCATGGCGGCCTCGGGCCATCACGAGGATCGTGGCCCCATAGGAGCTCCACCGAAAGCACCAGTGGCAGGGTTCGCATGGCGGCCTCGGGCCATTTCGGCACACCCCCCACGAGGATCGTGGCCCTATGAGGAGCTCCACCGAAGGCGCCAGTGGCAGCCTCCCTCATGGCTCTAAGCCCTCTCCTGCTTCTGCTCCTCGGTCAGGGGAACGCCGTCTTCGCTGTCGTCTGCGCCCGCGAAGATGGCCACGAACGTGTCCCTGAGCATGTCGGGGTCCGACGGGAAGCCGTGGCCACAGGGAGCGCGGGCGAAGATGGCATTCACACTTGCGGTATTCACAACTGCGTACGGTTGGGCTTTCCGCCAGGCCAATTGTATGGCATAGCTCATGTGCTGTGCCACACGGCCTGATGCTTTCTTGCCTCGGGTGTTGCTCAGAAAACCCAGCGTACTTTCGCAAACGATCTTGATATGCAGGGGCATGCTGCGCGGCACCTGGAGCGCACTCCCTGGAGCTCCCGGGTTGGCCTGGTTCAGTCGGACTACTGGTGGGCTGCTCGGGAACAATCCCCATGCCTTCCGAGAGTTCTCTGCGAGACACGGTTGCTAGAGTTGTCCATCGGACTCCTTGGCTGCCCTCCTAACGATCAAGAGGTTCCCCCGAAGGCAGCGTATCACGTCGTTACATGTGGGGCTTTCGCCTGCCTCCCTCTTTCGCCCCATTGTTTTCTTCGTTTCCCTCCGCCCATGACCCACCTTCACGGCGGTGCACGCGAGGCGACCAGCAGCCGCTCGACTTTGACACTGCCGCTGCTGGTGCGCAGGCGGCCTTTTCACATGGGGAAACGTCGCTGAGCTGGAGGAGTCGGGGATGGGGAGAGGAGGGGTGAGGGCGGAGGAGGGGCGAGGGACGAGAATGAAGAGGAGGAGGAGGAGGAGGAGGAGGAGGAGGAGGAGGAGGAGGAGGAGGAGGAGGAGGAGGAGGAGGAGGAGGAAGAGGATGAGGATGAGGATGAGGAGGAGGAGGGGGAGGAGGAGGAGGAGGAGGAGGAGGAGGAGGAGGAGGAGGAGGAGGAGGAGGAGTTGGAGGAGGAGGAGGAGGGGAGGAGTTGGAGGGGAGAGGAGGAGGAGGCGGAGGAGGAGGAGGAGGAGGAGGATCGGATCGGAACGGGTGTCCGCGGAAGAGCTGCAGTCAGCTTCTTCCAGGGGCGTGTTTCAGGCCAAGGGTGCCACGACAGGCCACAAGCCTGCTCGAAGCAGGCGCAGTACACGATCCTGTCATTTCCCGTGAACATAAATCTCCTCAACCTTCCATGCGACATAAGCCATTAAAGCAAACAGAGAGCACCAAACTCATGTGTGTAGCAGCCCTAAACCAACGATGCAAATCTGCCTGGACGAGCTCCATTTCTTGTCTAGATGTTTTCCGAGACTCGTCCCCAAAAAGATTGAAAGCAGCAATGGGAATGCATGTGGCTTCTGTAGCTCTTCTCCTTCTTAGAGCTTCAGCACGGTTTGCCGCAATTCTGGAGAGCACTGACTGAGAGACGAGGGGGAGCCGGAGGGGGAGGCAGAACAGAAGTAGCACTCCAATCGTCTCTCCTGTGGCAGTAGCAAAGGCCGAGCCTCGGCGGCAGACATGATGGCTCTAGGATTAGAATTATCAAGCTCCTGTTCTTCATTGACAGGCGAAGGTGTGGAGCTGGGGTCCAACGCCTTCTTGATGCGGGCGATGGCTGAGTCTACTCTCTTTGACCTGCCCACCGCAAACTCAGGACCCATCTCAGGAGCCTCGGGGGAAACAGACATAGAGTCAACAAAACACCGACGCAATGCAAACGTCTCCGCCTGGTCTGCATCCTGAAAGCAACTCTCTACCGAAGGTAAGACGGCATCCAGGAGAGCCTGACCTAAAACCCTGCACATTGCTTCATGGTATATCTGAAACGATTCTTGACGGGATCCCAGCCGAGCAGCATTGTATGAGCTCTGGGCCCGTGACTACATGTGCCCCCTCCAGGAGTATCTCGCAACATATCATGCAAAGTCCCTAGACTGTCAGCAAGGATACCTGTGGGTGTTCTACCTGCTTCCTGACCGAATTCACCCTGGTCAAGCTCGGTATATGAGGCACACGGGGCACTCGCGAGAGCTTTAACTGGTTTGAAGATCCAAGAGGGTACTGCTCTAGGCTTCCATGTGGGGGAAGCAGGATGCTCTCCCCATCCACATCCTCCTACCTCGGCACAAACAGAACATGTCAATGTGTGACAGCTGTCTACGAGTAAGAGCCTCAATTCCCCATGGAGCCGCCCAGGAGCGCAAGGGAGGGGGGGACACCGTCCTTCCACCGCGCTGCCGAAAACGTTTCGCACGGGGGCCCCCCTCCCACTGTTGCCACTCGTCCTGCCCTAATATGCTCACTTCAAAAACCTACCGTAGCTGGCTTGCTGAGGTCACCTGCATCCTCATCGATAATGATATCGATGGACAAAACACGCAGCTCAACATTGGGGATAATAGTTTCTAACCTTATCTCAACCGTAGCCTGGATATGGCCCTGGCGCCGCTGACCGCAAAACACATTAGCAATGAAGACAGTCCTGCGCTTCAGCCTGCGGGGAACGGGGTCTGCTAGGGCTCCTGTGTAGGCCTCGCGCTCAAAGGGCCAGTCCAAATACAGGCCGCGGACCGTTCCTGGGGCAGCCTGTCCTACATCAAATTGCTGAAGCCACTGCCTAGACCAACCCGTCACATGCTGGATTGTGTTCTGGATCTACAGTTGAGCCTGCTCACGTGTGTACATATCCTGCACCATCCGAGCCGCTGGATCGATGGGGCCAGGAACCACGCGTGACGGCACTTCTGCATACGATGTAGAGTATCCTTTGCGCCGTGCCTGCTGGTTTGCCTGATGTCCCTCAAGGGCCAACCTTGTTTGTTCCTCATTTGAAAGAGCAGGCACGTGCATCAAGTACAAAGCCAAACTAGATGATCTCCAAGAGGTGACAGTACGGAGGAGGAGAGATCTAGGCGAGAACGTGCGGCGGCAAGCGGCACATGTCGGTCCAGACACGTGCCGTCTCGCCAGCCCTGTAACCGTGACGTGCAAGGAACGCACATGCGCATCCAGCGACGGAACGGAAAGAGCCTTAAACTCACAGAATAGGCATCTCATTTCTGGCACTTGAGGGTCTTCCGGAACATCTCGAGCAGGAGGAAGACCCACTCTCTGCATGCCCAATAGAAGCCTCTGTTGCCAACGAGCACCATCTAAGTCCCTTTTAGATTTCTCCACGCACGCTTTGACTGCATGTGAAAAGGATACGCTTCCAGGCCTGCGGCGATGACTTCACTGTGTTTACCCACATCTGCGGGTCCGAGACTGGCGTGGGGAAGGATCCTAGAGCATGATGGCTAGAACGCAGCCGCAGCAAATCCTCCTGAACATGGGGTAGCCACGACTTTCTTTTAGTTCCTTCAGCTTGTTTGTTTTCGGAATGTAATAGTGCAAGTAGGGGTCCTGGGCCCGAATGCAATACCTTACCAAACAAGCGTAGACGATACACCCGAGGTAATGTAGTGACAGTGGGGCGAGCAGCGAGAGACATGACGCCATCATCGGTACGTCCATGAGCTTCAAACCGAGGTAGACGCAGAACTCTTCTTTACTGTTTAGCGTAAGGTTCCCTCAGAGTAACTACATCATTCCCATCGAAATCGTACCATGTACCTGCGCCATACAACGCCGAGCCAAATAAGCACCAGCAAATATGTGAAACCAAGCATGGGCAGACATGCATTATTAGACGCCTAAAAGTTTTGCCCACATGCGTAAGAGGAGCGCGTGCCTCGGCCTCTCTGTGCGCAAGCTCAGGGCCCAGAAGTGCTCTATCCGTGAGTAGTGCACCAAGATGCACTGACCTGCGAACAACATGTATGTGCGTGCCACTACACATGATCATACGTACAGGTAAGCGTGCCTCGAGCGTATGGAACACATGGCGCCGAAATGCCGCAGAGCCAGGTCCGTGTAGTTGAAGCATCATCAGAGTCTTGCCCACCTTAAGGTGGGGAACCAAGCCTGCAGGAGCAAGCGCGAGCTCCCTGATTGCAAATTATACAGCGCCCATGACTTCAACCAAAAGCATTTCCAGATACAGTCCAGCCTTCTGGGAATACTTTTGTAATGTGCTAGCCGCCAGTATTGCCAACTGTGTGCCTCTACCAGGGATCCTTGCGTATCGATGTTCACCTACTGCCGGTTGCATTGCTGGGATGAGCTTCCGCCGTAAGCATGCGTGATATTTTTGTGCCTATGTGCGGTTCTACTAGAACTGATCTCGAAGCCGACGTAGTATATGCATTATCCTTAGCTTTAGGAATCCTAGGTGCGTCCCCACCTTTCCCATGTAACGGTTCCGATATAAGAAAGAGCGTGTTCTACCGCTGCTGGCGGAAAACCGGGGGGGGTCACTACCGGTTCGAACCCCTCCCCCCCCCCCCCTCCGGAAAACCGGGGGGGGTCACTACCGGTTCGAACCCCTCCCCCCCCCCCCCATTCATCATGAAAGGGGGGGGGGTCACTACCGGTTCGAACCCCCCCCCCCCTCTCGAAAACCGAGTGGGGGTGCGGACAGTGGTGGGGACGGTGTTGGTGGGGACAGTGGTGAGGGGACAGCGGGACAGTGGTGGGGACAGTGGGACAGTGGGACAGTGGGGACGGTAGTGGTGGGGACAGTGGTGGGGACAATGGTGGGAACAGGGGGGACAGTGGACAGTGGTGGGGACGGTGGTGGTGGGGACAGTGGTGTGGGGACAATGGGAATGAGGTGGAAACAGTGGGACAGTGGAGGGTACAATGGTGGTGGGGACAGTGGTAAAGGCGGTGGCGAGGACGGCGGTGGGACAATGGGACAGAGGTACAGTGGGGACAGTGGTGGGGACAGTGGGGACAGTGGTGGGAACAGTGGGACAGCTCAGTGGGACAGCGGAGGAGTCAGTGGGACAGCGGGGACAGTGGGGATAGGCAGTGGTTGGGTCCGTGGAGACAGTGGGGAGAGTGGAACCGTGGTGGGAACAGTGGTGGGAACAGTGGGGACAGTGCGACAGTGGTGGGGGCACTGGTGGGGGCAATACGGACGGTGGTGGAACCAGTGGGGACAGTGGTGGTGAGGACAGTGGTGCTGGGAACAACAGTGGGGGATGTGATGCGAGCGTTGGTAGGGACCGGGAGTCGTTTGCTGGCGTTTCCAGGGGGGGGGGGTTCCAACCAGTAGTGACCCCCCCCGGTTTTCCGGATCCAGGGGGGGGTGGGGGGGGGGGGTTTCGAACCGGTAGTGACCCCCCCCGGTTTTCGAGGGGGAGGGGGGGGGGAGGGGTTAGGGGAGGGGGGGGGTTTTGCCGGAGGGGAGGGGGGGGGGGTTCCAGCAGGGGGGGGGGGATTTTCGGAGGGGGGGGGGAGACCCCTGGGTTCCGGAGGAAAAGGTAGGCAATTTTCCACAGTAAAGCGGCGGTGGATCACGCTCTCTCCGATATAAGTAAGCCCGACTTGACAACCAATTGATCTCATGCCTTGGCCAGGGAGCTTGCCAATACACGTGCAAACATACCATGCAGACCGTCAGCGCCTCCAGCACTGTTCTTAGTGTGCCTTAGTTCTTGTGCATATGTCGACATGCTGCAGCATGCGGAAGACACCTGTCACAAAAGGTGTTCATGAAAGCCTGCGGCCTAATGTTGGCCGCTAGCTCCTGCGCAGGAAATGCTCCAGCCATTGCTCTGTGGCCTGCAGGACAGTAGAAAGGAGCCATCCACTTGGACC